TGATGAGGACATCGTCATCTTTGGACACACCGACGCCATGGTCTTCCCCAAGTTGTAATTGCGTCCCCAACTCACCGCCACGTCGCCCTCGGATTCAGCAGACACGTCGTCATTTATTTGGGTCATAACTTTCTCATACGACATCGAAACGGGCCATTCTTGGATGCGTTGGAAAGGGGACGACGACGCCGTCGTTTTGGATCTGGTCCCAGCTCTAGAAGGTCCGTGGATCATTCTGTGTGACCACGGCAAGGTGTCAACACCTATTTGGGCCAACTTGGCCATGTATCGTGTCGGCCTTAAGCCCAAGTTGTGGGCGCCCAACCCCGGCCGTCCCCAACCCTAGGTCGAGTCTTAGACTATAAACATAGCCGTCGCCACCGCTTCACAATTGGGTTTTGTTTAGAGTTTAGTTTTCCATCGAGAAATGAATCGCTCATTGTAACCGTGGTGACAAATCCTTTTACAAATGATCCGGGCCCCGTTCTTGATCTCCTCCACCGTGTCGATTAGTCCTTTGGAACCGAGTTCTAGAAGCCTCTATTGATATTCGCGTCATTCATATTTGCAATATCGATTAATGTGATTTACCTTCTTGCTTGTGCTCTTTGATTCGCTTGCGGAAAAAGCCTTCTTGGCGAGGTCAATCAAGTTGTGCTTGGTTGATAACCAACGGAGCAAAGGGTGTAACATTTGCGGGGTTCGAATCGCGTCGATTTGAAGGCGGATCGCCAAAGTCGAGATCTCCACAAATCGAACTTATCGGCAACCTCTCTCGGAAGATCGGGCTGTCTTGATCAATTGGTATCGAGATTTCGGGTTTACTGCGAGGTATAATCTCGTTTGCCTTAGATTTGTATTTGTTCATTACCTAGAGTCTACAAAAGCCCAAAGATATTTCAATTTCCATTTGTCCTATCGCCCTTTATGCCTTTGCAATTTCGTTTGATTCGTGTTGTTGAGTTTGTGTTCGTGGTCGAGTCTTGTTGTTTGGTTTAGGATTGTGTTCGTGGTCGTAGTTCAATCGCCTGCTTTGTGTGATTTTTGTTTTCCGCCGCTATCCCATCCACTGCTTCCAAAACAAGTCGAAGCCACCACATTACTCGACTTGCCCCGCTTAGCCGCCTTTTGTGTCACTTCTCATGCAAGAAACCCTAGACAGGTTGCCGGCCGCTCTTATTTTGCTGCGCATCGCACCCTCCTTACATCATCGGTGAATACCTCTCATTGTTAGTCACAAAGTGATGATCCTGTGATCGGTGTTAGAGTTTCGGGACGCTTTGCCCTAATCGCCGCCGTAGTGTTGTGCCTCCGGAAAACATACCTTGAGATACCTTCTCATAAAAGCAGGCATAACTTTTCGCTCGTTTATCCGAAAAATCTGAAATTTTTTCAGCAAGACTTCTTGACACCATTTGGGGCCGACCCTAACTCGGCTTCATACTGTTTGGTTTCATCAAAATTGCCAAAAAATCGGAAAATATAGAAAAAATTGTCAAAGTTTGCACGCTTTTCAGAGAACGTCTTTGAATTTCAGAGACCACATCCCACCTCGGTTGTAGGTGCCAATTTTTGTGGTTGCATCTTTTGTGATCCTTGTTCAGAGAAAAGTATATAAAAATTGTAAAAAATAAAAAAGTTTGTTTCCTACTAGTGCCTTTTGGTAAAATTTGGGAAAAAAATTCAGGAAAAAAGGAGAAATCCGCTATTTGCTTGTTCTGTGAGTTCTTTCGATCGTCCTTTGTTTTCACCTTGTTGCGCTTACGCCTCGACACGTCCTAGCCAAAGACTGTGTGATTTGTACTTTGGATCCGGATTGAACAATCATTAATCTGCATTCGTTAATTGCTAATCCTTGCTTGTCATATTGTGTGCCTACCCATAGCTCCACATATTCTTCTCATCGACAGTTCATCTTGCAAAATATTACCCACGCTTCACAAATGATTGCTTCGCCATTTTGGTTTTGCTCTGTTTGGCATTGGTAAGAATACAGCCAAGACGTGGTAAGCCGCTTGTGATTTTGCATTCCACTTTCACCACCACCACTTGTTTCCTTTTAGTTGATAGGGATAATACTTTGGTGTTGTCTTTTTCTATCTTCTAACCATGGCGGGAACTCCGGCGGACTTCAATGAGTGCGTGTCCAAGGGCGAAGCTTACAATGTTCATGACCGAACAACGCAATCTTATGACCGAGCCGACGCGCGCACGCGTGAACAATCTGGTCACCCGCATTGAACAACTTTTGAGCAACGCCCTCCACCTTATCGTCTTTCGATGATGATGAAGATGCGGATGCTTTTGGTGATGAAGATGCGATGTCGATCTTGTGGTGGTGCCGTCGCCGCCTCAACTTCAATCGTCAGCGGTATGGAAGGTAATAATCATGGTAATAATGATCCTTTTGCTAAAGTTAAATTTAGTCTACCTCCTTTTCTTTGGTAATGTTGATCCGAGGCATATTTAGATTGGGAGCTTCATTGCTCAACAAAAATTTGATTCTCATAATGTTCCTGCTTGAGCATAGAGTTAGACTTGCTACTTGTGAGTTTACTAATTTTGCTTTGTTACGGTGGAGTGATCTTTGCAATGCCAATAATGTCAGCGATGTGCCTCAAACTTGGAATGTTTTCAAGCAACGTATGAAATCTCGTTTTGTTCCTCCTTATTACCAACGTGATTTACGTTTGAAACTACAAACTTTAAAACAAGGTGATAAAGGAGTAGAAGCATACTATCAAGAATTGCTTATTGGTTTAGCACGTTGTGGTATAAACGAAGATGATAATGATGCTAGTGCTAGATTTTTTGGTGGTTTAAACCATGATATCTGAGAACATACTTGATTACAAAGAATGGCGCAATTTTTCCCAATTGTATCATCTTGCTATTAAGGCGAACGAGAAGTGCAGGACGCAAACAACACCAACCTTTCGAGTCTAACAATGGGAGGAATTTTCAAGTGCTGTTCGAGCCGGAGACGACCAAGCTTCTGTTGCACCACGACCATCTACACCTCCATTTTCTTCCCGGTAAGTAAATTGTCTAATGTGCAGCTTCCACAATGAAAAAGGTGCCACTGGTGCTTCTACTAGCTCCTCCTCGTCCAACTCTAAAATCATTTGCCACCGATGCAAAGGCATGGGACATGTCATGAAGGATTGCCCCAGTCGTCGGCGCTTTCATTGCTACTGAGGATGGATATGTAAGTGCTAGTGATGTTGAAGATGATTTAGCCCTTGTCGCTAACATTGATGCAGATCCCACCGAGGCGATCAAGACAAGGAGGCCATCACCATTGACTCAATGAGCCGCTGCCATGACTACCCTAGCCTTCTTGTGCGGCGTGTGTTGAGTACACGTGGGACATGAAGAAGAGATGAAGATCCAACGCCACAATTTGTTCCACATGTATCTCATTGTGCGGGGTTGTCGTGTTCTCACTATCATTGATGACGGAGTTGCAACAACTTGGTGAGTTCAGATTTGGTTGACAAGCTTGGCTTGACCACACGATAACATTCGTATCCATATAAACTTCAATGGTTCAATAATAGTGGTAAGACTAAGGTAACTAAATCAAAGACGCATTAGCTTTTTCACGTGCTCTTATCATGATATCTGCTGATTTTGATGTTGTCCCTATGCAAGCTTGTTCCATTTTGTTAGGTCGACCATGGGAATTTGATAATGATGCTTTACACCATGGTAGAACTAATACATACACTATCATACATATGGACAAGAAAATTACATTGTCGCCTTTGTCTCCTACGGATATTGTTAAACATGCTAATGAGATTAAAAATAAACCTCCAAATGAGACATTGCTAAAAATAATGGGATTAAGTTAAAAGGAGGTGCTTTTCTTGCTACAACTTCGCTACTCATCTTTGAGTTATGTGATAATCTCGATGCACCATGTTATACTATGTTTTGTCAACCTTTTATGTCCGGTGCATTGCTCGCCGTCACTAACCTTTTGCAAGAGTTCGGCCGATGATGGGATGGAGTCGAGGACGACTCCAATTCTAGAAGGAGGGATGATGAGGACATCGTCAAGATGGAGTCGAGGGCGACTCTAATTCGAGAAGGGGAGGATGATGAGGACATCGCCATCTTTGGACACACCGACGCCATGGTCTTCCCCAAGTTGCAATTGTTCCCAACTCAAATGCCATGTCGCCTCGGATTCAAAGGACACGTCGTCATCAAGCTTTTCGGTCATAACTTTCTCATACGACATCGAAACGGGCCGTTCTTGGATGCGTTGGAAAGGGGACGACGACGCCGCGTGTTTTGGATCTGGTCCCAGCTCCGGAAGGTCCGTGGATCATTCTGTGACCACGGCAAGGTGTTACGTCACCTATTTGGGCCAACTTGGCCATGTATCGTGTTGGGCCTTAAGCCCAAGTTGTGGGCGCCCAACCCCGGCCGCCCCAACCCTAGGTCGAGTCTTAGACTATAAACACAAATGCTGCCGCCGCCTTCGCAAATTGGGTTTTGTTTAGAGTTTAGTTTTCCATCGAGAAACCGAATCGTTCATTGTAACTGGTGACAAATCCTTTTACAAATGATCCGGGGCCCCGTTCTTGATCTCCTCCATCGTGTCGATTAGTCATTTGGAACCGAGTTCTAGAAGCCTCTATTGATATTCGCGTCATTCATATTTGCAATATCGATTGCGTGTTTTACCTTCTTGCTTGTGCTCTTCGATTCGCTTGCGGAAAAGCCTTCTTGGCGAGGTCAATCAAGTTGTGCTTGGTTGATAACCAACGGAAAGCAAAGGTAGCAACGGCGAGGGTTCGAATCGCGTCGATTTGAAGCCGGATCGTCAACGTCGAGATCTCCACAAATCGAACTTACCGGCTACCTCTCGGAAGATCGGGCCTATACTCATCAGCGGAGGCGAACTGCTCCAAGGAGTCGAGGCGGCGGTCGATGGCGGAGTCGTGCTCGGAGCGGACGGCCTCCGTTTCGGTGAAGAGCCGATCCAGATGGGCACCGAGACCGTCGAACTCGGAGCGGAAGGCGTCAAAGCGGTGAATCAAATCGTCAAACATCTGGCGGACCACGGGATCCATGGCGCCGTGGGAGCGTTGAAGGCGGGTGAAGTGGGGATGGGCGGGTGGGAGGATCTCCAGCACGGGCGGTGGCCGGGGGTCGACGGCTCTGGTACCAATGTTAGACTCGTCGGCAGCGAACGGCCGGACTCAGGGAAGAATTTACATAATCAACGATGTATATTGATAGAAGTGCTTGTTCACTACTAGGAAAATAATACAGCAGCTGATTTCATGATCCCCCTCTTCCTCTCACTGCCGAACTGATATACTCGCTTCGACTCTCTCTTCTCAGCATCGAACCTCAGTGGGCCGACGAGGTGGACCTCATGCCGACTCGGGCTTCTCGTTACAAGACACGCATGCCCATTCTGGCCTAGACAATTTGATGTTGCTGACTCTCTTCCTCTTGGGCCTTGGTGCTGCCGACGGTCCCCAGGGTGAGGTTTGCTGACACTGCTCGTTGTCTTCAGGTAAAGCATATCATTCAGTTAGCCTGGTAGTTGTCATACTGTCAGAAATGACTTATCTTTAATGTCATTGTATGTTCAAAAGACCATTTGAGTGCTTGATGAATTAGTGTATCATGGTTTTCAAATATGAATGCTTGCATTACTGAAGAATCTAGTTTGCCAGAAATGTATACAAGTAACCGGAATTAAATTTATTTTACTGTGACTGTGATCTAGTGTATGGGTCTAAAATTACCAGACTGAAGCTTCGGTGCTGATTTCAGTACTGTATATAGGCTAGTGTTCCATTTTCTATTCCATAAATAGTTGTTGGGCTGCCATGCTTTTGTAGGCTTGGGGAGTCCTAGAACAGCGTGCTGGTAACTACACGGCTGCCAGAAGATTGTTGAGGTCTTCGCTGAGTATAAACTCTCAAAGTGAGGTGACATTGATGACATGGGCAACACTTGAGGAGGAACAGGGGGATCCAGTTCGAGCTGAAGAAATTCGGAACCTTTACTTTCAGCAGGTTAGTTCAGGTTGCCTGCAGAGCTACATCTTTATCTGTTCATGCGGTGTGTGTCTGTAGTTCGGACCATGAACTATAATTGTTAGTGTCCAGCTTATCTTTGTGCGATATCCTTGACAATGCCACTGACTGTTTTCCATGCTGGCAGCGTACTGAAGTTGTGGATGATGCCTCATGGGTCATGGGCTTCCTCGACATCATCGACCCTGCCCTAGACAGCGTGAAGAAGCTGCTAAACCTAGATCAGCCTTCTAGGCCGACGAGGCAAGATGATGTTAAAAGCACTGCCAGGAGTTCTGCAGCTGGGGAGTCTTCAGAAACTTCTGCGGCTGTAGGTTCAGATTCCTCTGACCTTACGAGCAATGATGCTGGTAACAACGGGAGCGAAGCAACGGGGACTCCAACAAGTGATTTCGATTTGGATGGTTTCATCAAAAAGAGGTTGACCCTCAACCCGGCGGAGCTGGATGCCGTGCTCGAGGGCTCTGACCCGAGGGGTGTTGTTTCTCAGAGGAGGAAACAGCGGCTGCCCAGGAAGCCACTCCCTCTTCTCCCTGTCCCGTAAACTTTCCAGATCGGTCTGTCTCATTTCCACCGGTAAAATCCACTGACAGTAGCAGGTATCGTGAATTGCAATCGTGGATATCTGTGAGGAGAGGACGACCCCTGCCGCTGCCGTAGCAATCACCTGTTAATTGTCATTCCAGCCACGTGTATGTAATTCTGCCACCATTTGTAGTATGTCTAGCTCTGTACATAAATTAGACTTTTTATCTACATAATTTCCCCGACTAAGTTATCGAGAAATATTCTGACAAATGCCAATGTCAACTTCAACACCTTATACTAATGCTAGAAATGCCAGCATAGCACAAGCTAAAAATCTCAAGAGGGAAAAGAGAGATAAATAACCCTTTTTATTTGGATATCTATTTCTGTTTATGGTAGTCCTTAAGAGGAAGGCAAGCAAGAGTCCTTTGATGAGCTCCACACTATTTTACAATCTTGGTCTGGACTCATCTTAGTTGGGGGAGACATCAACTTAGTAAAGTACCATAAGGACAAGGAAAATGGAGCCATTAATTTACACTGGATTGCTGCTTGACTGCTTTTAATGATCGGATTGATAGTTGGGGCTAAGGACACTCAACCCCAAAACTAGAATGTTTTCTATGTTCATTAATTAAAGTGCCCACTAACCAAAATGGTGATGTGGCGTTAGAATTAAAGAAGAGAGAGGAAATTGTTTCTTAGATAAGAAACTATGTCTATACGAAAAACAAGATATGAAGAGATGTGATAAGTAGATAATGGAGAGAAAAGATATGTGATTGGACAAAAATGTATTTTGAAAAAACTATCTATTGAAAATATGGTTTATATGTGGTGTCTATATGATTTGGCAAGCATAGAAACTACTATGGTTTCTAGCATTGGGACGACCATTATGAAAATAAACAATCCCACTAGGGATTATACCTGGTTTAACGATTAAGAGTAACCAATTATGGCTTTCATAGAGAGAGTCTTCATATCTACTCATATGTAGCAGAAATACCCTTTGATTAATGTCAAAGCTGCCCTCAGAGTTGTATTCCATTTGGTAGGGCTCCTTGGAGCAGGTTCTCCATGAGAATAACTCATGCTCAGTTAAATAGTAAAAGATCGCATAAATTCTAGCGAGAAGCAGACGAGAATCGCTTCTCTATTTACACTAGGAATCGTGAGCTAAATAACCTGCTCTTTGTTGCACCCTATTCAAATCCCTACTAGAATAATTTCTTTGGGCAGTTTGGCAGTGCTCCTTGAGCACGGAGAATCACTCTTGCTTAACCAAACAACAACAACAAAATCACATTCTAGTGGCGATTAGACAAGAATCATTTGTACATTTACACTAGGAGCTAAAAAACCGGCTTCTCACCGTTTCCTACTCATTCTACTTCCCCACCAGACCACTCCATCACAGAATCAAGGAGATGGAGCTAAAAAACAAGAATTGGAGCTCTGCCAAATAGACCCTATAAGTGATATCCTATAAGTGGTACTTATGAAGATAGCAAATGTTCAAGAAATAATTTTTATTGATAAATCCAACAAGTGGTTCCATACTAGAAGATTCTTTCAAATGGTATCACATCTACACATGGTATCAATCATGCAAGACGATGGTTCCACAAGTGATCCTCAACTTTAAGTGATCATCAAATGAAGAATGCATCCCTCACCTACAAGAGCTCAAGTGTATCAAATGGATGACCCATGCTATCACATAGGGGGAGGTGTCACATAAATTGATATCAAGATCAAAGATTCTAGGTGTGGTATCTCAAGAAGCCCTACACAAGATACAAGCGGTACAAGTTACAAGTGGTGTCATTCCAACAATCAAGGGATGTCCATAAAAATGCAAGATTCAAGTCTCAACCATCTACCCCAAATGCATACCTTTGCATCAATGAGAGGCACACCTTTTATGGAAATTGATGACAAAGGGGGGGAGATTGTACAAAGATATGAAAGTTTTGAGATTGAGATTGTACAAGGGGGAGAGATTGTACAAAGATATGAAAGCTTTGAGATTGAGATTGTACAAGGGGGAGAGATAAGATATAAAAGCTTTGAGAAAGATTGAGACAAGAAGTAGAGGTTGGACATGGACATGGACAAAGAGGGAGCAACATTGAAGAAAAGAGATGGATCAAAATTCTTGGACAAGAGAAGCACACAAGTAGGGGGAGCAAGCTCATGAACTTTGATTAATTGCATTTGACATGTGCATATTCATGTGCTTGCTTTTATTGCATAAGTTCTTAAATTCAATATGAATGCTTGTGTGATGTTTGCTAGTTGTAGAATTTGATTGATGAAATAAAAACTAGCATGCATAGGATGATAGCTAGACACTTGGTATGCTTTTTAAGTAATGCTAGTACCTTTCTTTTAATGTTGATCTCACGAGGTATCTAGTGCTTTTATTTCCAAGTGATATCTAGCTAACCATGGTTCTAAGGATGAACTTAAAGGTGCAACTCCGATTGGTATCACGCTTCAAAGATTTATTCTATACACCTTAGCATCATTTGGTAGTAATTACTCTCCCATAATTTCAATCTATGCATATGTGCGAGCTTCAAACCAATCACTCTAGCACGTATGTAGGGGGAGCTAATACTACCATTTCAGGTTTGTGGTACTTGTCCAAAATCATTTTCACATGGTAAAATTACTTGGGCAAGCAACATAAATCCAAAAGAGCTTAATTTACATATCTTTGTAGAGTTGTCATCAATTACCAAAAAGGGGGAGATTAAAAGGTCTTTGTGTGGTTTTGGTAATTGAGTGACAACCTAGGTGGACTAATTGTTTTTATGTGAGATACACAGGTGATTAGTCCATAGGTACATGTGTATAAGCAACATATGCCATGAAGGTGAAAATGGCTTGGAGATGTTGCAAAGCTCACACATGTGATGATGAAAGAGCTCATTGCAAATGAGACATGACATTGAGTCATGTGATCAAGATGGAGAAGATCAAGACATGACTTGGCTCGATGGACCGGTTGCAAGCATGAAGGTCAAGTTGGAGGCTTTGGAGCGATGGACCGCATGACGGTGAAGCTTAAGCAAGACTTGGTGTCGATGGACGAAGGCAGCGGTGAAAAGCAAGTGAAGTCAAGATCGATAAACCAAAATGATCACACGATGATATGAAGTGGATCATATCATTGTTGATCGTGTTGGTGCATGTGTTGCATCGACATTGGAGGAGATGGAATGAAATGCGCAAGGCAAAGGTATAACCTAGGGCATTTCATTTCACCGGTCAAAGGTGTGTAGAGAAGTTGATGACTGGGTTTAGGATAGATGGTCGTACTATCAAGAGGGACAAACTTGTTTGCATATCGGTCATCTAGTGCCACTCGAGTGATCTAACTTTGCATCATCGCTAGGATCGAGTGGCGTGGCAAGTTGAGTGACTAATCCTTTGGAAAATGTTTATGAAAAGCTAACACACATACACATGGTGGTGCATACTTGGTGGTGTTGGCACAATTGCAAAGGAGAAGAAGTTAGAGTTGTTGTGAATCAACTTAGAGAAGAGAAAAAAGTTTTTCGGTGTACTCCAAACTATAGGATGGTCCTTGGATTGGAATACTGCTTTGATCCATTGTGATTTGGATAAAGTATGCATGTGGGATGTGTAGACCTCTGAGTAAGCTTTCCAAAATGTCTAAGATCATCAAAATCGGAGTTCGGAGCTAAGATTTATAGCCATTTTAGCGCTGAAAGGTCTGTGACCGGACGCTGGCGTGAAAAATGACCGGACGCTTAGGGTCTACGTCCGGTCAGCACCTGCGAGTCCGGTCACAGCGTTCGGTCAGTGTTTTTAGCGTGTCTAGAAGCGACCGGACGCTGGGAGAGTCCGGTCAGTGATGATCGGACGCGTCTGGTCGCTGAAAAACGTCGCTGGAACCTCTCTGTAAGTGTTCCAGCGTCCGGTCGTTATGACCTGCACGTCCGGTCAGTGCGCGTTTTGCCCAGTGAAGGGGTAATGGCTATTTTAGCCCTTGGGGCTATAAAACGAGTGTGGCTGGCCTTGGACTGGTTGCTGAGCACCCTCACGTCTATGTGGCTTGTGTAGGAGTGCTTGGATGCCCTCTAACTCACTTGTGCTTGCAAGAGTGCGAATCATTTGCGAGTGAGTGTGATTCTAGTGCGTTGCATTGTGAGATTGCATCGAGTGACACTAGGTGATCGAGTTGCAAGCCGATGATGCTTGTTACTCTTGGAGGTTGCCACCTCCTAGACGGCTTGGTGGTGGTCTCCGTCAAAGCCCGCAAGAAGCTTGTGCGGTGCTCCGGAGAAGAGCTTTGTGAGGGGCATTGTGCTCGCCCCACGGGAGCCGCGAAGAGCAACTCTAGTTGAGCGTGTCATTGAGCTACCCTCACTTTTGAGGTAGGTTCTTGTGATGCCCGACGTGCGGGCTTGGCGGGTGATGCCAATTAGCCGCCGAACCTCTAAGTGAGCGGTCGACACAATGGGGACGTAGCGTGTTGGCAAGCACGTGAACCTCGGGAGAAAATCACCGTGTCAACCTTGTTCGTCCCATTGGTTTGCAATCCCCTTACATAAATTTGTGATTACTTTTATGTACATTGTGCTTGTGTAGCTCACTAGTTACCTTCTTGCTTGTGTAGCATAGAAGTAGCTCCCTTACGTGGCCAATTTGGTCTGTGTAACCTTGTTAGTCACTTTTCTTAGTTTGTGTAGCTAAGTATTTGCGCTCTCTAATTTGACATTGGTTGCCTTGTTATTGAGCATTGCTAGTGAGCTTAGTTGGCTTTGTGCTTGTGCTTATTAGCATGTGTAGGAGCTCCCTCATTGCTTGAAATACTAATGGCATAGGTTTGTGTGACCTTGCTCCTAGAATTGGTTAGGTGAACTCTAGCTAGCCCGGCACCTTTGTTGCTTAATTAGGATCTTTGCAAGGTGCTAGAGAACATAGATAGAGGGGTGTAGTCTTGGCTAGACCAATAGTTTTAATTCTGCACTTATTTCG